TCGACATAAACAGGACAATTCTGCTAGGCCTGTGGCACGTCGATAATGGACAGACAGAAGTGTTTGCCATTATCGAAGAAGAAAATACTTTTCGTGAGCAGGGAGACAACTTGTCTCTGCTGCCTTGTACAGCTGGGGCGACAGGGATACTTCTGATGAAGGACCCTGAAGCGGAACAAGCCGTGAATAGTAGGGAACCCCAACATTCTGGTCTTGTAGTACTCTTTGCTTCGAAGGAAGTGACAGGGGTATCTCAGCTGGTGGTGGAAACTTCATTGCGAAGAAATTCCACATTACAGTCTACAGGAAACCCTGAGTTTTTTACTGATTTGACTGTATACCCTGACTTGATTTCGTGCTCTGACTCTGGACTGATCTTTGTTAAAGACAATTCCACCCTGACAATTTGGCTAGGTAAAGACAGCATGCACCGAAGAGGAAACAAATGGACACTCTTCAGAGAAATTGTTAGTGGTAAGTGGCACTCACTTCGTGGGATCACGATGAGTGAAGAAATCCCTCGTTTTAAGAGGAGATTTGTAACAGATTTTTCAAAGATCTGTAGACTGAGGAGAAGAGGATCCAACCTGACTGCGACTAATCCTTTTAGTAGAACACTTCAGGCTCTCCCTAGGCAGATAGGGCGCGGCGAAGGGAGGAAACGCACAGAGGTTGTCAGTCAACGGCGCAGAGGAGTCCCGTTGACAAAGCATGGATCTTTGATTATCCGATGGAAGGAGGAACCTCCGGACAAAGGGACATTACCGAGCGACTGCTTGGAATACCCGCTCAATACCAGGATCAATGACAGTATTGAATTATCCTGGATGAAAGGACATGGGATATCTGCAGACGAGTGCAGGAATTCCCACTGCCATAAAGAATACTGGAAACAGAAAACTTATGGGCAGTTATGCTAAGGAGGACTTGAAATTCTTGGAAGCCACAGAGCGTGCTGATGTGCGGTCAGGGTGACCGAACTTAAGGGAGAGGCTCTGTGACAATACGCTCGGTGACTCCAGAATGTCTTTCCCCAACCTACTTTTATTTCTTTGTATTTTGAAAGTATGCAGAAAAATATGGATTTGGATACATCCTTACAGAAGAAAGACGACCAGATATAACATTTAATTCTCCGGGACTGTTGGTCATATCAAACACTAAGACACTTTCCCATATGTTAAGTGTTAACGTACAGAGATAAGACTGACCAAGCAGACTTACTGACTGGAGATTTGCACACCATCTGTTGGTGTCAGATATTTTATCTCCTAGCCAGACTTTTAGGAGCAGCTAACTCCGGCTAATTGTGTTTAATTCCCCCTGAGGTTACCTAACTCGACGGCAGGTCCGACGGTCACTATTGACACAGTGAGCGGAAAGTGTTGGCAGAAGAATTGACAAAGTCGGATTTTATTGTGATGACAGGTGAAGTAGGCCAGAGGTGTGACTTGTCCTATTTGCTCTGTCAGATGAATTGACCAGGAGATCCTAGCGTGGGAATTCAAACAATTGTTGTACAGTCACTGACTGACAGTGAATATACACCCACAAGGGAGGAGCTGTGATTTCCCTTAATGAGAATGATTTTAGACGTAATGTAGGAGGAGCTTGATAAAAGTTATAAAGGGGTGAACTATAGGTCTGGTAAATGAGATCCTGTCGAGCACA